TTGGCCGAAATTTTAGAGAGAAAGGAGAGCTTGTGTTCTCATCCTTTCCCCCAAAAATAACCCTTAGTAAATTTTAGGCTATAAAGTCCTTTATATAGTCCCTTCAAATAAGTGACCTAATGGACCAAAAGCCCTATTCTTTTACACATGGCCGGCCTATAGGTTTATTGGGCTTTCAAGCCCTTTGTTTATTCAAGTTGTCATACAACTTGAGTTAATGGGCTTGACATTCAAATCCCATTGGGCCTTGCGGCCCAAAACTAATCCGAGGTCTTTAACGAACTTATTCGTTTGATTAATTAACATATTAATTAATCCTAGCCTTAGATAAATAATTAAACCATTTAATTATTCTTACTCATCTCCGTTGTTTCTTCAAACTCTACCTTACTCGGTGAACGATCCATTAGGTTCCTTTTAGCGAGGCAGTGGGCGATTAAAACTCTTTCTAATCGATTGTGAATTGAAACTTACTTTCAATTCTCCCGTTAGTGATAATACACTTTTAGGGCTTCCACAAACCATGGTTGACGCCTAGCAGCATGTCATGGTTACCCAAGCTAATCAGAAGAGGTGGAGAACCTATTCAGTTTTAGGATTACAAATGCAATACGGTCTTTCTCTAATACAATACTCTTGACCACATTGTTTGGTTTGATAGTTTATTCATGTCTACTATCCAATGTGAATCTTGTACTTATATGATTACCTTGAATGTGATCTGGAACGCATTCCAACATCTCATTCATACTCTGGCCAGAGATTCTAAATCATATCATAGAGTATTCTCCCTCAAACAGTTTGAAGGTTAGAGATCCCTTGTTGCGCATTCACTTGCCTCCATGGCTAAGTGGCTTAACCCCGACGATGCCGTGGACACCCTGATAGAGTGACTTTGACATAATCAAAGATCAAGTACCTAACCACAAGACAGCTGTGATGCCTCAGGTCAAAGAACTACTTTGCATTATCCCAACCATGAGTTCTCATGTGACATGAATATGAGAACTCTTCGTTGATCGTTTTCAGTGAACTCATTCTCTATTGAGCACCTACGTACTTGTCTTGATGTCACACACACCAATGACTCGAGACTAGTCACTCTCCCTGAGAGAAGACATAGCACGTACTGATCTTAACGGACTGTCAATGCCCAATTGACAATCCTATGATCAGGAACGTTTAGGATGTGTCAACGAAAGAATGGTCTCATGAATCTAACTTCTTTAGATCGCATTCTTCCAATCACATATTCCTTGGACTTTATCGTTTAAGCATATAACATTTATATGAGACGGCTCAAACAATAATGTTTGCCCTTAATATTAAACTAGATTAGTTTAACATGTGAAATGTCCATAAAGTATCATCATATGATTGGTTTTAGGGCACATTTCCAACATTAAGACTCTCAATGAAAGCACCAATTTATGGATGCAAATTTCCGCCTTCTTCTTCTTGGACGAAAATGCACCTGCAAAACAATTAACACCTAAGATCAAGGCCAATAGCCTCTCACGCCCACGATGAATTGAGGGGTGGGGGGCTTTGGCCGAAGATTCTCCGATGCCGAATTTAGAATTTGAGGGAAAAGTGTTTAGAGAAATTTAGAGAATTTTAGAAGAGAATTGGAATTAGGTTTTGGAGAAAATGAGGGGCTATATATAGGGGTGTGACCAGCCCTATTAGGAGAATTGGGATTGGCCACATTTAGTTGTTTTATGGGATTGATTGCAAGATATTATGGAAATAATATCTTGCAATTACTTTAGGTAATTAATCAATTAATTAGATAATTAATTAATTTAGGTAATTAATCCCAATTTGAAAAGATAATTGGGAGTTACCTTGTGGGTTTGTTGAGGAATGATAAGAAGGCTTAAAAGAATACCATTTTGATCACCTTTGACCTCAATTGTGCCATTATTGTTCATTGCATGCGCGTGGGAATCCCGGTGTGCCTCAAGGGTAATTTTATCTTTCTCACCCAAAAGTTCACATGTCGTCTCCATCTTCTTCTTGATTATTTTTTGCTCCACAATTATTACACCCAATCTTGTTCATGTCAGAATATCTTTGGATGAACTCGTATGTTAGCATATGTCGATAAGCACTCGTTATGATACATTTGTTTATGCGAGATTATGTGATTACCAGACATTATGTGCTCATTTACGAAATATTGTGACGTATTGCATTGTAGGAAGAATAGGTCTCTCCTTAGGTTTCTCAACGTGTCGAATCCGAATCTACTCTCTGTTTTTCGAAATTCGATCATTTTAAAATAGTTCCTTTATTAGCCGTACTTTGTATGAAAATGCTTAGTTACATTATTATGTTATATATTTACGTAAATGGTTTCATTTCTAAGTGAAACGCATCGCAAGGATTTTCGGTGCCTGCAAGGCGGGTTTGACCCAACGACATGATTTGTGAGTGGGTCTTTGCCTTTAAATATTATATATTTACTTTATATTTTTTTATAAAGAATTTTCTACGTTATGTCCATATTAGATTAACGTTTATAAGAATTAGCGCATTGACGGAAATTAGGAAATTATGATACGTCCTATGGGATGCACATCTATGCAGATTATTATGGGATGTCTTAATCATATTTGCAGCCATGAATAACATTATGTCAACTAGAATTATCGGTTTTACTGTTGCATGATCATATTTGCGCTATTTGCTCATTGTGTGCTACACTGGTGTTAGTACTCGCCCAGGCCAAGGCCAATCTTCACATGTAAGTTCACATCGCACTGTACACTCACTTTGGATCCATTGTAGGTGCCAGTCCAGTCTTAGATTGCTATAGGCAATTAGGACTCGTATGTGATGCGCATAATGACAGTCTTCATATGATTGTTGTACTAGAGCGTAAATCATTATTACATCCAGGCTTGTTCAAGTCAGAATATCTCTACATGAACTTGTGTGTCAGCATATGTCGATGAGCACTCATTATGATATGTTTGTTTATGCGAGATTATGTGATTACCAAACGTTCTGTGTTCATTTACGAAATATTGTGATGTATTGCATTCTTGTGATATTGCTGGCTATAATAAGTATTTTACATATTATACGTAGTATGTTATATTTGGAAACTATACTTGTTTTACAGCGAGGGGTTATTATGTTTTCGAAAAGGTTTTACAAAGTTTTATTTTTTTTAGGCCCACTTACCCTTATTTTTCGCCCTTCCAGATTTTAGTGGCAGAGCTTTCGTGTTAACAAAGATTCTTGGCAAATGTGGGTACAGGAGATTATCTTCGATGGTATAATTCTTATCCTACCTTTATTGTACTTTACTTATGCTTTGACAGCACGTGTGAATGGCGTTTAATCCCGCTCACATGTGCACTCTTGCATTTATTCACCTTTATGGTGTCGGTCAGCACAGCTCGATTCGGAGTCCAGGTGGACATTTCGAGTCGGGGTGTGTTAGTGGGCCAACCACTGCTGGCCTATTGCCTTTGAGCAAGCTGACGTCCGTGCACTTTTTTTTTTTGGCAGACGCGTGTAACACATGCACGACTGTGGGCGAGTGGTAGACAAGGCTGCATTGTGGGCCCTGGTGCAACGGTGCATTCACATATTTCCAACAGTAGGGACACGTGGCTTCATTTAAAGCCGTTGGATGAGCTCGCCTAGATCCAAGTCTCCCTAATCCCAGTGCGGTGGGTTGGGCCAATCAAATTTCAAATTGAAGTTTGGTCGACGACACCTGCTGCCCGACCTTTGCCAATCCCATCGTGGCTTTTTGAATCAGTAAGGGTCACAGTCCCAGTCTTCTAAGTCAGGGAAACCACTATACCTTTTTGGGAAGTTGTGTACAACCGAAGGGCCAACCTCATTATCATTTGCCCCGCCCCTTTCTAAGGGGGATTCAATCAGAACGCGAGGAAATATTAGCGTTATGCCATGTGGCACAATTTGATGTGTTCGATTTCGAACCAATTTGAAAATCAATGGCAGGATTAATCCAACATTAAAAAAATTTATAAAGAAGAAAAAAAACACATAAAGAAATAGAAAAAAAAATATAAAAAAATATAGTAAAAATTAGAAATTTTTATATTGTTGTTTTATAAATACCCAACTATCTTCTTCATTCTCCATCACAACTTAATCTTCATTTTCACCACAATCTTCTATATTTATTTTTCACTATTAAAATTTTTTTTTCCTTAAATTAATTATGTTTATTGTAATGCTATGCTTTTGTTTTGTATTGAAAGCATAAAAAAAATAAACAAGCATTTTATTTTCAAAGCATTAAAAACCAATCTTCTATATTTTAAACAATCTTTTTATTTTCAAAGCATAAAAAAATTTTAAAAAAAAATTGTGAATAGTGCTGTCGTTTTCAAACTAGTGGAGTTACACAAAGGCAAGTACTATTCAGAGTGAATATCAAAGGCAACTTACATGCCCATCCTTGCCCTTGCCTTTCACCAACTAGTGGAAATGCTCCAAGGGGTTAGTCTAGTGGAAAGCAAGCAAAGGTTCGGAATTCCCAATCCAAATTTGGTTTTATGCATTTCCTGAGGTAACAAGCTCTGCTTTGACGTATCGTTTATTTGTGAGTCAAAAATACTATATTATCTCACATGGTACGTGATTGCATTAGAAAGGGAATTAGTCTCCATCCATCTCACATTGTAGTTTGCACACGTGACTGATTTCTTTGTGTTTATTTTATTTTATATAATATATTTTTCTTTTATTAATATTATTATGTAAAGTAATGTTAATGAGAATAAAATTTAATTTATAAATTATACGATGCGATTATTGATAATTAAATTATTATTTAAATAATAATTAACGTGTTTGTTTTTTATTGAATACATACTATGATTTAATTTGAAGCAAAAATTTAGTTTCGAATCGAAGAGAAAGTATACGTGCGGATGAGAGAGAATCAGGCGCCGATGGACCACCACTCTTCCCTTTGATATATAAAGGCTACCCGTCTCTTCCCATTTTTCCACATTCGACACGCACAGACGGATTTTCCTTTTTTCCTTTGGACAATTTCTCTGCGATTTTCTCGGAAGCCAAACGCTCTCAACGATGGCCGATCAGCTCACCGACGACCAGATCTCTGAGTTCAAGGAGGCTTTCAGCCTATTCGACAAGGACGGCGATGGTCTCCTTTCTCAGATCCCTCTTTTTCCTCTTTTTTCCCTTTCCTTTTTGTTCTTATTATGCCTAACTAATCTATGATATTTGGATCTAATGCTGTTATTGCATCGAAATTTCGTTTGTGCTTGTGAAAATTTGTGATTGATCGAGGGTTTTTTTAGCAATTGATTCGATTTATCATTCTCCGAGTGCGTTTTGATCGTTTAGGATAAGATCATGCTGTTAGATCTGATCGTTAGAATTTAAATAGATGAATGAATTGTGCATTCCCCTTATTGATTCGGTACGTGTCTGATGTTTCGTTTCCCCTTGTTTGCACAATTAATTTTTCTGGTATTGGGATCACGAGGCAATGTTACATGATATACATAAGAAAATACAGAGATATATAAATATAAACCGATTTCCTGTATGTTTCTGTCGTCTAATAATAGCATGAAATGCAGATTTTTGTGCCAAACACTTCTTCAGGGTTTAGGGTTTGAAGAAATCTGTGAATTATAATTTTGATTTTGAACAATTTTTGTATCAGTTCACAGTTTTCAGATTTTGTAAGCACGCAACTGTTTGACGTCTCCGTATATTTCTTCTTCTTAGCTTTATACTTAGACGAATCAGTTTTTTATTACTCTATAAGTATGTTTGATCCTTGGATTTATATGTTAAATCTGTAAGTATTATCTGAGTCGTCGAATCTTCATAACATCGTATAGTGACTTTTTTTTCCTATTTGACAATCGTATTTTGGTCATGTGGCATTTTCTAGCCTTTACTATCTTAATGGTATTTGAGTATTATCTTTTTCTTGTTAGGAGTCAGAGTTTGAAGTGCATCTATAAATGTTATCAATCCTTTACTCGTATGGTTTGGTGTTTTTCTTATTTGACAATCATATTTTGGTCGTGTGGCATTTTCTAGCCTTTACTATCTTAATGGTATTTGAGTATTATCTTTTTCTAGTTAGGAGTCAGAGTTTGAAGTGCATCTATAAATGTTATCAATCCTTTACTGGTATGGTTTGGTGGTTTTGGGATGGACTATTGTGAATTGATTTGTCTTTTCTTTTCTGATATTTTGATATGGAATTTAGAAATCTGGATGAATGTTTTGCTTTTCATTGTTTGCCTTATATATGTTGTGTGCAATATTGAAATTGTTAAGCGTTGTTTGATTGAAATGTGATAGACTGATAGTCTTAGTTCATGCGTGTGCTTTTCTTTATCCAATTTAGACAGAATTCCCTCAACAGTAATAACAGTTTAATGTATTGGAGTGAATGTTTGGGGGAGAACTTGGGGGAGAACAGTGGTTTTCTTGCGTTCGTATGCCGGGCTACAGTTATGTGTCTGAAGCCCTATTACCAATTTCTTCGTTGGATTCCACCGTAATGTTTCTTTATGCAGGTTGCATCACTACAAAGGAGTTGGGGACTGTTATGCGTTCACTTGGGCAGAACCCCACTGAAGCTGAGCTTCAGGATATGATCAATGAGGTTGATGCTGATGGGAATGGGACCATTGATTTCCCAGAGTTCCTTAACCTGATGGCCCGGAAGATGAAGGACACTGATTCTGAGGAGGAGCTCAAGGAAGCCTTCCGAGTGTTCGATAAGGACCAGAATGGCTTCATTTCTGCCGCTGAGCTTCGTCATGTTATGACAAATCTAGGCGAGAAGCTGACAGATGAGGAAGTGGATGAGATGATTCGTGAGGCTGATGTGGATGGTGATGGGCAGATCAACTATGAGGAGTTCGTCAAAGTCATGATGGCCAAGTGAGGATTAATTGACCAAAACTAAAGTTTATATAAAAACGTAAAAGGGAACAGGGCAGATAAGTTCAAAAGAGATTTTCGCATCCCATTAGGACATGTTCATTTGGTATTGCTAGGTTTTGGTTGGTTCATGTATGCATTATTTGTGGTACCGTTCCTTTTAGTATCCTACTTGTTTGCTGTCTCTTCATAGTTCCTGTTTGGTAGTGTCTGTTACGATACATTGGTATTTTGATTCTTCTCTTTGAAATCTATTGGGTGAATCTGATATTACTGCTTATTGTTGTTTTTCGTTAATGTGATCTTGTCGTCATGCGTTGGTGATACGTGCTTCTTCTGTTGTTTATTGTCTTCAAGCATGCAATTTGAATTTCAAAATCATGTTAGTATTATGTTACTTTTTCCTCAGTATCAGTTCACTCAGAAATTGAAAGTAGGTTTTCGGGATTACAAATTCTTCAAACTCCATTGGCGGAGTCTGAAATTGATCACCGATGGTGGTTATGATCTGATGAAACTTGTTAATAGTTTTCTGTAGATTATAACTTGGTAGGGAATGAATCACTGATGCATGCTTCTTTCGACAAACTTGGTTGCTTGCTTGCTTACTCCGTAAGTAGAACGGTGTCCTAGGCACTGGCATTGGCAACGGGTGCATCCAACGTCAACGTGCTGTCATGATTTCTTCTTTTGTATTTCTTTTGTTTTTGTGGTGCACGGGGCGAGTGGCCTTAAAGCGAAAACGTGTAAAAGATAAGCATCATATTCCTCTTTGTTCCACCTTATTTGACTGATTCGCTTGGAGGACAATAGGAGTTATTCTCTTCCGGACCAAAGTAGAATCCTACACTTGGCATTGCAGTGGCAATGCAGGAGTTTCTCCTTTCACCTCCCCCAACATTAATTCCGGATACTAGGAATATTTGGGAAGGCGGAATTGAAAGGGTAAATGCTATTAACTACTTGAACTACGTGTCTGTTCATTTCCAAAATCATATTTGGCATCCAAAAAACGCTTAAAGCGAAAAAGAAATTTCTATGAAAGCATGATGAGTGGATGAAGAGCGTCGACCGACTTTTCAAACCAACCAATCGAGCCGAGTATAAAATAGTGATCTCAAATCGCATCGCACCGCATGCAAATAGCATAAGCATTAAGCATTGTAATAATGTTTGTCTCTCCTACTTAATGACAGAAGAATGAGAAGTCGATCAAATCAAAGGAGCGACAGCGTCGGCAGCGCGAATTCAAAGGAGTGCAAGAACAAGACCAACGGAGGAGAGAACGGGAAGATGAGGCGTCGTTATCGTTGTAGACAACACTTACACGATTGTTCTATCTTGTAATTAAAACTCAATAATTTCATGTTATCTTTCTTAAACATTCCTCTAATTAATCCAAAGGGAAAGTTCCATTACTATTTTATATGCTTCGTCGAACAAGGTCTAACCAATTTAGCATTAATCTCCTCTATATATTACTCCTCTAGTTAATCCAAAGGATTGGTCATGGGGACGCAGCCCGAAACTTGAAAGCAGTGGAACTTTGAAGCTCATTTCTTTGGTAGACTACCACATCAATTTCAAGAGAGTTTTACTTTTGCCTCTTACAGTACTACTTTGGTTTTCATCAAAGGTTGTTCACACAACCTTAAGGGAGGAGGGCCTTCTTCCTTCCTTTGCATGCTTCATCTGCAAGGCCCGCAGAACACTCTTGGAAGATTTTTTTAGTTGCACCTAGTCATCACATGAGTAGGTTGCCTTCGTACCTCTTCTCCAAGAGGATCAAATTGCCATAGTTCGCCCTTAGAACTAAGATGCCAATGGGTGGTGAGTAAGAGTGATTAACTAGAATAATCTTGCTCAAGAGGAGTAGGGTGGTGAACGACTATGCACAAAAGGCTGCTATTGTTGAAATTTTTTGCTCAAGGGTTTGGGCCATCACTTCAAAGGTTTGTTCATGCATATTCATTTCACGTTTAAAATTTCTACTACATTTTGATTAGTGATGTTGTTTGTTCGGAATTACTCGCTACTTTCCAGCTAGATGGCCATGCAATTCAAGACAACCTGTATGGGCCGATTGACAGTTTTTTATCCGAGGTTGAATTTATAGCCCTTGATCTGTTCAGATTGCATTTATTTTTTATACGTGTCCTTTGTGCCTTTGTCTTGGCTGGCTAAAAACAAACACCCCATTTTGCTTAAAATCTCAGCTAGGTCTCTTTTGTTGGTGGTTAGAAAGTTTAGATTTCAAGAGTGTTTTAAAAAGGCTTTAAGCTTCCTCTTGTGTTCTTTAATAGAAACCCTAACCGCATAACCTTTTCTCATGCATTAAATCAGTGTTAACTCTGCACATGCTTTCTGATTAAAGGTTTGTTTTGGTCATGGTCTAGTTTTACAAGTTTCAAATCTTCGAATTGACCTAGTTTGGATTCGCGTCAGTTTTCTTCCTGCAACTATTTGACTGGAGAAATTGACTTGTCATCTGAATCTATACTTCATACCATCTTCATTATTACATCATTTGCATTGATTGTGTTGGTCTTAGTGCCACAAGGAGAAGAGTTAAAGGTTGGAGTGGTCTTCTAGTGAATATTGAAGACATTTCCATCTCGTACAAAGTAAGGTTGCACAAAGCTAAATCTGCTCCTTAAATTAGATCTAGGAAATGAGCTTGATGTGGTACTTTGTATGAAACTTATTTGCACTAGTGGATTGTGTAAGATAGTAATCTGAAATCATAAGAAACAACAAGACATTAGGATCACGAATACAATAACGAAATCGACATGAAAAGGAAATAAACTTATTTGTAGAAGAGGAAAACATGATGCTAGGGTTTTAGGAGAGTCTTCTCCACTCAAGCAGTTGTTAATCCTTTTGCTAGTGAATAGGGTTTAGCACAAAACAAGGATTATTACTGTGAGTGCAGGGACCTCCTAATATACTGATAATTATCCCTATAATCCGGCCTATTAACTAATTACATGGGATATTCCATATCAATTAGGATATCATAATAGTCCTAAATGGTAACGAATTCTTTGTCAACTAATTAAGGTCTTCATAATTAATTGCACTAAATAAGGACTCATTAACCTAACCATAAGGCTCCATGATTTCCTCAACTATTAACTCGGATTGACCAAGTTACTTGTATGTCAAGAAATTGCGAGCGTTCTTTGACACTCACAACTTACAGAGTGGACTCAGTGGAGCCCCTAGTTTTTTAACCTAGAGGTGGGTTTTTCCGGCCAAAAACTTTGTGTGTTGTTTATTGTTCTTTTCATGTTCACATATCTTGTTCATTTGCATGTGATATATGTTTTCTATGGTTTGCAAATAAATGTGTGCCTACAACTAAGCTTATCAAAGTTATCATGTGAACTGGACTTTAGTTTTAGGACCACTTCAGTAAGCCAAATTTAATTTATTTATTCTACTTTTTGGTAAACTAACAAATCTGATCTTAGTTAACTAGTGTTGCTAACTAGTCAAGCATATATTGAATTTTAATTACAGGATATTCCACCTGGTACCAATTTCACTTTTCGTTCTTGATGCTTAGTTTGCTATCTTTTGAGTTAAATGATTTATCTTCTTGTTTGGTATGGTTTTCTTGTTGTGTTAAATTTTTGCCTCATTTGGTGGCTACATTTTTTCGGTTTGAGTGTTTTAATAAGTACTTAAGTTTGTTTCATTGGTTTCTTGGTGTTGCTTGTACTTTTAGCTCGTGCAGATTACATTATTTGATTGCTAGAGGACGATTGATTTCCCTAGTGAGATTGTTTATTTGTCTGAAAAGGTTGAGTGCCTAGAGGCTATGGTTTATGACGTCTTTGAGCTACCCAAGACACATGCCTTGTAGCCTGGCAGCTAGCGTTTCCAATTACCCATTTCGGGAATTAAGTACCTATCATCTCAACATTGCTTTTAGGTTTCCAAAATTTAGATGCATATGTTTAATCTGTAATGATCTTTTCTTCTTCCTTGTGGTCTAGACGTCGCCTTGCTCTATTTATAGAAGGAGTTGGGCTATGTTTTGGCAGTCGTTCAATCTTTAAATTCTTTGCTTTCTAACTCCTTTTTTCGAACCTGTAGTCATGGCTTAGAAATCTCAGCTTATTACTAGTTCTTCCCGAAGCCCTAGAATGATCACAAGCCCTAGGCTTCCTTAGTCCCTAGCCCTGGCCAAGATCCTATTATGGTGGAGACTACAAGCAGTACCTTTGCCATGGAGGGTGGTGTTACAAGGGTCCAGACAAACTTAATCTTCACCATCAATAGCGATCACTGATAGGAGCATATTTATGCAACTTTGTTAGCTTGTTCTTTGCATTTAGTGAGTTAGTTTCTATTTATTATAGTGATTTAGTTTATTTTCCTATTATTGTAGGTCCAATTGGTGAAAATGACAATAAAGGGCTAAATGGAGCATTTTGGAGTAGTTGTTGGCTTGGATTGGTTAGCATGCGTGTGGAGCATAATGGATGGACGTTTTTGGAGTTTTACATGTGCTAAATATGTCCTACAATTTGGAGAATCAAATTTGGAAGCTTGGAACACAAGGAATCAGCTGAAAAGAAGGAACCTTATCCAATCTTGTCCAAACTAACCTTATCTAATCCTATCTTACCTCATCTTATCCAAACATTATCCCAATTTATCCAACATTATCTCAGATTATTTCTAGCTACAAAAGGAGTCATTATCCTATTCTAAATCCTTCCTATCTGATTCAAGGAGTCCTAAAGCAATGCAAAGACCCTATCTTTTTCCTCCTTGGTTTCTGCTGAACCCTAGCCAATAAATACACATTGATGCCGCAACTTTCAAGGATCAAGTTTTTTTTAGAGAAAATAAGGGTGTGCCGCAAGTTTTTTTTAGATTTCTTAGAGACTTGTGCCGTGCTTTCAAGGAGAAGAAGGACTTGTGTCATGACCCTGAATCCAAGGATTGTGCCGAATCTGCCATTGGAGTGCTGGGGAATTTCTGAGTTCTTTCTATCCTTAGTTTTAGTTCAATGTTTGTTTTAATTTGGTTTTCAGTTATGATAGACATGTGGAACTAATTTCATTTTAGCTAGAGGTGAATTCAAAGCCATGAACATATGTGTGATATGAATTGATTACATCCAGTTATCTGTTTGATTGATAACTTATTCTTGTATGCTGGTTAAGGAGGCCTACTTAGTTTGCATGCATGAGTTTTATGCAAAAATATAAGGGAATTTCACCTAATAGTTATGAACTTATATTTATAAGTAGTGGAAATCAC